GATACTCTATAAAGTAAGAGAAGAGTCGTAACAATAATGATGTATCATAATCTGGGAGTACGATAGGGAAAAAAAGAAAAAGAAAAAATGGTGAAGAGATAAAGAGACTGATGGGCGAAGATAGTATGTGGATGTCATACGCATTAAGGTGCAACTGTCTCTTATACACATGGGGGGGGGGGAGGAGGCTTGGAACCACAGATGGATTCAACCAACCACAGATGGTTTCAACCACCAGGACCTCCAAGCCTCTCTTTCCCATTGCAGATTCATACTGTGCCCATAAGGAAAGGAAGGACACGGGCACATTTCCTTTCTTTTCTTTTGGGGCCTGGCGCTGCCAGCCATTTCAGTATGGTAGTCCAAAAGGATGTGGCACGGTAAACCGACATCACATTTCCCACCCATTTTTGAAGACAGCCATGCACGCGCCGCGTTCTTTGGGGGTCGGCTTACTGGGGCAAAATGTCTGGTGGCACCAGCCAAAAGTAGGCCCACAACTGTATTTCCCAGAGAGAGAGAGAGAGAGAGAGAGAGAGAGAGAGAGAGAGAGAGAGAGAGAGAGAGAGAGAGAGAGAGAGAGAGAGAGAGGGATATGGTGGAACAATGCCTTCACAAGCGGTTAACGGGGACCCCCACTTTTCGACCTTGACTAACTCCAACGTTGGCCAATTTTGTTGCGCCAGTTTCGGATTTCTTTGAATTTTCTGTTCCATATATATGTATGCAAGCTAATAAAAACTCGTGTCTCCTTTCTCGAGTTTTTTTCTGATTTCCAATTTTGTTATGTTCAATAGCGTTAGCTTAATTCAAATTTCGTCACTTTCTAGTAGCCATCTGCGCTGCGTGCACAACGATCTGCGAGGTTTCGGTTCCCCCGGATCGGGACGGATACATCCGGCGCGCATGCCTTGCCACTTGCTCTTAGTTCATGCAGGATTACGGAAATGATCTGATGTATTGGGCTTTAATGTTGGACAATCGCTTCTTTGTTGCATGATGGTATGAACATGTATGTAATGATTGGATCTCACTTGGAATGATAATGGTTGCATGAGAAGGATAATTGTATGCATATGGGATAAAACGGCAATTTCGTCAAAACGAACATATTATATATTTTGAAAGAAATTGAAATTGAGTTTTTGGACCGAAATCCGGCCCAAATTTTTGGCTCCGGGGGGTCCAGCGTTCTTGGAAGGCCGGACCCCCTAGGTGTATCTGACCTCACGCAGAGACTTGATACATCTAGGGGGTTCGGCGTTCTGGGAATGCCGGATCCACATGGGCTAAAAATTTGAACTGGATTTTGGCCTAAAAACTCAATTTCAATTTCGTTTAAAAAATATAATATGTCCGTCTTGACGAAATGGCTGTTATAAACCGACGACAAACAAAAGCACCTACCACCGACTTATCCGCGCGACAAGATAGGATCTGAGCAGTCTGCCTACGCAAGCGCCCGTATATGACAGCGAATCCGACAGCGGAGTCTGCAACATACGCGCGCGTCTGCATAAGTCCATCTGCGATATCACTTCGTCAAGAAATGAATGTAATTATAGTCCCTTAAGTAGGATATGGCGATGGAAACTCCCTTCTGGGTCACCAATTGCGAGAGCCTAAGGAACTCAGAGTATCGAACGTATTGGGAGAGGGAACAACTTAGGCGACGATGAAACTCACAGAATCCTGACTACCCCTGTCAGACTAAGAACGATCGATTGTGCGGGGACAATTTCCAGTGGGCAATAAACCAGGATTCTCGGATTCCGAACTATCTCGACACCCGCAATAGACAGTATTATCTAACCCCAGGCTTCGTCGTTATTACTACCCGTTTTCCTCCCTATTATATCCTTCTCCCGTATCATCACCTAACGGTTGTTTCGTGGAACTCCATAGCTCATTACTGGCCCCGCACACCGTGCCCGGAGTGCCAGTAATACAACGAGTATCATGAAGCAGGGTTCATCCGACGAACGGTCACGAACCCGCTCCGCAACAGAGCATCGAGAACATAGTCTCCCACTACGACCATCCTCATCAGACTCTGAGACGTGCATTGGTCGACGACGGTACATGTGTTCTCATAGAGATACTCATAGCGATCCGCCTGTACATCAGATATGTCCCCAACCCAGGCCGCGAGATTGGCGATCGCCCCAATTCTGAGCTAAAACGAGACACTTCCCTGAAACTTGATGCCGGAAATTCCAGTTCCGACCTTCGACTCCATCCCCCATTTTCCTAAAATCCTTGGCACACCCCTCTTCGTACTTCCAGACCCACTAACACTCTGAAACAGGAAGTCATGCTGGGCGTGAGGTTGCTATCGGAGCCGACACGTGTCAAGACAAGGGATTGACAAGGGGCTCGGTCTTTAGTTCAACCGATTTGGCGATCCCGCGAAGGGGACAGTCCGCACAGAGAAACGCGCCGGCACGTGAACCCGTAGTAACACGGAGCAGGTCTCCAGACAGACTTGCCAACGACATGAATGCTAATCAGGCACAAGGGGCGGTGAACCCGCTAGCCTCGCGCCTCCACAGCCGGCACGTATCCGCGCACCAGCAGCTCAGCCGGGTCTATATTTGTTTGATCATGCACATCATTTGGCAGGAGCATGGCTTGCCACGCTCCGAGCACAACAATACGACGACGATGAAGCCAGAAGCCAGGATCAATATTCCCGCCAGGTTAGAGGGCGACGCCCACCATTGGTTTAGTACCTATGTATGGGTTGATCTCCCTACCTTTGAAAGAGGCTTCCTCCACAGATTCGACTACATTCACCCCGAGCAAGCGTTCTTCATGATTAAGGACCGAGTGCAGAAGCCCCTCGAATCCATCGCACAGTTTTGCAACAAATTCTACCGATTATTCGTAAAATCCCTGAGGGACGAAACAGTAGGGAGAAACTTCATAGACGGACTCATAAGTAGAGCAATACGGGTCAAATTGTTAAAGCAATTTTCCCCCATCACCTTTACTATGACGCAGATTATGGACGCGGCTGAGGAAATGGAAAGGAAGTTCACCGCTAACTTCCTCGAAGGGGAAGACCACGCTAAGGAAGGAAACTCTTCGGAACTAACCAGAGTAAAAATAAAATTAGCAGCACTCCATCATAAATTCGAAAACATGGGCTTCGTGTCGGGCCACGTAACCTACCTAGAACAAGTGGCAACCCAACGGCCTCCTCCAGATCAAAGTGCAGGACCCTCGATGGCAAGAGTACCTGTTTGGACACCTGCCCTGGCAGGAAAGGCAAACGATTCGAACGCGATATTTGAGCTCACACACACGTTAGTAAGCCTCCTACAGGAAAGCAAGAAGGAACAATGTGAGTACAATACCCGAATGGAGTCACTAATGCGCTCCATGCGCCCCATTAATGTCCGCGCCGCCCCCTTCCCTGCTGGAGCATCTTCTGCGGCCGCAGCGGCGGGAGCTGGTTTAAGTACTGCACTCATAATAGACACGTGTTACGTGTGTCACCAGCCCGACCATATGGCAAGAGACTGGCCCCAACGGCAGGTACAGATAGGAGCAGCCCCAATGGCGGCAGCTCAACTGGTGTAAGTACTGCACCCAGAACAGACACGTGTTACGCGTGTCACCAGCCCGACCATATGGCAAGAGACTGCCCACAGCGGCAGACACGGGTAGGAGCATCCCCAGCGGCGGCAGCTCCCCTGGCTAACGGACCAGGACGGGTAGAGGACGATGGTAGAGGAAACCGACGGGGCAGTATCTGCAGCGGTCGTCGCTGAAAAGGCCGCAGAGCTTATCCCGCTCGATCAGTTTATATCCTTGGGATATCTGGGTTAGGTGTGATTAGGGCATTCCAGTCGACGGACGAAGAACGAGAGGTCTCGGAATGGAGACCATCCCCCAATGAAATGGAGTCCGGTGGTCCTGCTTTCATTACCAGGGAGATTGATGTACTCAATATCGTTGAAGCACTAGATCACCGCATCCCACTCCCGATCGGACACCTTCTGTCTATATCGAAACAAGCTAACCATCACATGTTGCAGCACAGTAAAGTCAATCGAAAACGGTCCGCACTCGTCAAGCTGGCAAATGGTAAAGGGGAAGGCCCGTGCACCTGGGGCTCATTCAGAAAAGTGATCACTTTTTGCGTATCAAAGCCATCTCGTGGAAATCCGCAGAGTGTGACATGGAAATCTTGGAAGTCCCCTACAATGCAATCATCGATTCTGGAGCAGCCGTATTAGCCATATCCCTGTGAGTAGTAGAGAGGGCAGGGAGACGAAAAAAATTGATTCCACTCGCTGAGGGAGACCGTTTAGTCTCCGCGGATGAAGAAAAAATCCAAGCGGACAGGAGAATGACAAATGTCGTTTTTAGACTGGGAAAAGTCCACGCCTTGGGAGACGTCGTGGTCCTCAACGTAAACTCGTACGATGTACTCCTGGGACTACCCGCCTTAAACGCCCTTCAGGCTAACCAGGACTTCGAGCGACGGGTACTAGTAGTTCTCAAAAACACGGGTGGCAAGCCATACACAATCCCTATGCGTCTCACCCTCCGCACAACCAGCTTAACTAGAACCCATGCGGATATAGTTGGGTTGATCCAAATGATCACATGGGAAGGATTGACTGACAGTTCAAAAACATCCAGCGAGGAACATATGTCCTCACCTCCTGAGGACTTGGAAAGTGAAGAAGAGACAGACCCAACGATCCAAGAACTAACGCGGAAGGTAATCGGTTACCCAATCCGACGGAAAACAACAAAGACGTTCGGGCTTACCGAAGAGAAATCCCGACAACCCCGGGCCCTTATCAAAGGGAAGCCGCTAGTACAGGTGTCGAGGATGCCCGATTCTTCCGAACCCCCTCGAACCATGTATGGAGCTGCCCCGCTGCTACCACGATACCTGGACAACCGCTCGTTCTGCGATGCTACAAAATTACGGCCCCGATCGCTTCTCACCATGGAAAAGGACGTACGATTACTACGCCTAGGAGCGAAAACACAGGCTTCAGAACTCCCTGGGTACCCCGAAGCCTCGCTATTCGAGATTGGGATAAAAATCGCCGAGAAGCTGGTGGACCCTCGGGACATTGAGGACGGGATAACCCCTAAAGAATACGTGGCCATCCGAGAAGAAGAGGCTCAAATGGTGGCCACCATATTCTCGTGGTGGTCGGATAACTATTTTCTCGCTTCCCCACCGCTCCGGGACACGAAAGCGATACACACTAAACACGTGTCGGTCATCATTCACGGACAACCCTACGAATTACACATGCGGGAATGTGTGCCCGACAAAACTCACCAACTAATTGCGGATATTCTCACCGAGTATCGGGACACCATTAGCGTCAAGGACGCACATATCGGATTATCCGTGATCATACAGCGCGAGATTCGAACCGATAACCACCCACCGATCCACTGCAAGCTTTACCGTCAAGGTTGTCAGGTGGGGGACCTCGGGGGCAAAGTTAGGGTAGGGGTTGTCAAGTGGGGTGCCCCACCCCTGGCCCCCCGCACCCTCGGCCCCCACCACCCCGC